CATCAGGGGTGATTAACCACAGGAACAAAGTACCAAGGGAGGTGGTAGATTCTCCATCTCTTGATGGCTTCAAATTGAGTCTGGAGGTTTTTCTGGAAGATGCTTTAGTGAAACACAAATTAGTGGGCTCAATACAGGGGTAAGTGAGTGAAATTTAATGGCCTGGGATATCCAGGAGGTCAGGCTAGATGATCTTATAGTCCCTTCTGGCTTTAAACTTGATGAATCTAGGTTCTGAACAGCACAGTTCTGTGCTACGGAGTGTTCCTGGTTCAGTCACTGAATACCTATTTCCTGTGCACTATTTCCCCCCAGTGCATTGGTAAAAGCTGTCACTCTTCAGCTAAGACTTTACAAGGTCCAGTTTTCCTTGTTATTTTGTTCGGGTGACTATTAAAGCTCCCAAAGCAGCAGTGAGAAGGAGTCTCCATGTCCCCTGATGCGCTTGCTCAATTCCCCTACAGAAATGCCCTGACAGTATCACTGAAATACTCTCTTTTCTTCCTGAACAGACTTAGCTGTCCAAGACATGGATATATGTGAAATCTGCGCCAATGCAGCCTGCGCAGGTTGTCGCTGAGGAAGGATGAAACCATGTATATGGGGCCAGCCAAGCCCTGCAATCTCTGCATTTATCCTGCAGCATCGTTTGCATTGGCAAAGCTATTCTCTCTTAGGCCAGGTCTCCGCTACCACCTATTTTGGTATAACTTATGTGGCTCAGGGGTGTGAATAAGCCACCCCCTGAGCGACGTAAGTTACACTGACTAAAGCGGTGGGAGAGCTTTTCCCGCTGACATAGCGACCGCCTCTCGCGGAGTGGATTTATTGTGCTGATGGGAGAGCTCTTCACCAGATGCGGTGCAACTGTGCCAGTGTAGTGCTTCTAGTGTAGACTAGCCCTGAGAAACACAAACACGATCCCCTCCCAACACCCACGCCAGGGTCACTGCTTCACTTTCCAAAAAGCTTTGTTAGGATAGGTGGGAGGTTTGGGGAATTGTAGCATCTCCTGTAAAAACCTTGTGAGGTCTAAATCCATGTGTGATTGTCTCCACCTGCACTAGTAGATCAGGTAGCGCAGAGAAAATTCTATCGGCACAACCCGTGTGCCGTGGGATGGGGTTAGCACAGGCACAATCCAGTTTAATAGTGGGAGGTGGGGCTAATGACAGGATTGGTTCAGTGTCCATTTAGTTGTCTTAATGTTGCTGATCAATCTGAACTAACCATCTGCCCTGCTGCCCTCTGCAAGCCTCCCCCACCCCACCTCCCAATACTTTTTTCCCCAAGAATTTTTCCCAGAAGGACCCTGTGACCTCACCCCAGCAGTGATAAGTTCGTTTGCACAGGTGCTGTGCTGCAGAACACTAACGATCTACCACCTGCAAGGGGGCTAGCTCCTGCCCAGGGCAGCATCAGCAGTTTCTTTCTCGGCTTGGCAGTGCTTGGCCCCAGAGCTTAGAGGCAAGCCGCTCTCATTGTTCCTGGGTTTGGGCTATGGGAACCCAGGGCTCCAGGACAATTCCCTTTCTTTGTGGGATCTGTTTATCTATTGATGCAAGAGGCTACTCAAGGGAGACCTTTCTATATCTGGTGGGGTTCTGCACAGGCTGATGGTTAATTGCTAGGCTCCTCACACCACTCCTATCTTTGCATTTCTTTAATGCTTACGTTATGTACGTGTAGTGAAGGATTTGTGCATGAGATTGTGATGGCTGTGTGCATATGTCTTCCTGGGTGTTACATGTATGTGCACCCCTATGATGTGGATGTGTTTATAATAAAACTATGTAATTTCATCTAGGGATAGGGATATTTTCTGCCATTTGAAATCTGTGAACCTTAGACTGCGTTTTTTAGTTTGATTTTGCAGCTCTTCTGCTGCACCTTCACTGACTTCTTAGTAATAACACTGTAGTAATACTTGTGCATTTACCTCTCACTACTGCAACAAGCAGGTACACTTGAATATTTCACACAATCCAGGTCTTGTGGTGTAATTGCAATAGAAATATGCACGAGAAAACACAATATTTCTGCATTTACAGAGTACAATACACATCCTTTCAGTTGTCACCCAGTTTGGTTTTTATCACCGTAATTTTTAACCGCAGTAGTTTTGAGATAAGCAGCTCCTGTGCATTGTAATGCAGTTATGCCTGTTCTTCTGTACATATTAATAGTTGCATTTTCTAATTGTAAAACTAATCGCTGTGTTTTGTTCAGGTTAGTGTGGCTAAAAAGAAAGTCTCGTTCACTTACCACATTCTGTATATCAGCGAGTTATTTCCTACTTATAGAAAAAGATGTAAAGAAACATTATAGTTAAAAATAAGTAAATAAATAAAAATGCTGAATCACACAATAGTCTGGACATTCTTACTTGTCAGTGAATATTCTTTCTGGGTAAGTGGTACATTGGTTACAAATTCATACTAGCAAATTGACACTTATTCATGCACACAGTAACTGTAATGTTTCTACTGTAACTAACATTATAGTCAACCGCTGGCATTTTGTAGGAGGTCTAAGTATCAAAGTCTGGCTATAGTGAACATGCCCTGCAAAGCACAGATTCTAGTTTAGTGTCTATCTCACAATGTTTGGAATTAGGCAAATCAAGGTACCTTAATTTGTTTGCAAGGAAAATAAAACCCAACTTTCCTTGGATATTGATGTCTTTATTATTTGCTGAGTAGTTGAGGGTAGATCCAAGCACTTCCTGTATTCCCAGGCATCCACATTAGGTTTCAGTTTCCTCCTTCACTAAATCTTTCATGACTCTGGTTTTGCCTCCAGATGTGTGAATCCAAATGTGAATTTCTTTCTGTGACATCTCTATGCTACTGGTTATTCGCACCCTATCCTGGTTAGCAATGGGTAACATGTGGGTGGTTTGGATAAGTAGGAATTTAGAAGCTTATTTGGTCTGGAATTTTGAAGGGAAATCTGTCAAATCTTTACTTTCCTATTAGATTTCCAATACTTGCTGGCTTTGGGCAGGTGGGATTTGGGAATAACACAAGGTCAGCCTGAAACCAGGGTATGTTGAGGTTCTGGGGGAGAAAAGGTAACTAAGATTTAGGTTGGAGAAGGGTATCACTTGCAGCTGAATGAATTCAAGATGATTGCTTGAAATGCTGTAAATAATGCATCAGGAAAAGACATCTCTGGCTTCCTGAATAAATGCAAAATGATATTGTTGCCATTCCTCTCTGAGTCAGGGGTTTGAACCTGGGTTTGGAGAGAGGTCTTTGGTGGGGTCATAAACATCCAGGACAAAGATGGAAAATAGAATTTAGGCCACAGGTTGGATTGTTTTGTTGGAAGGCGAAAGAGCCTGTGGATGGGATGGCAGGAGGCCAGAGGAGCAGACTGCAATGTTGTAATAGTTTTGAAGGGAAAGGATGTGGTGGTGTTTATTTGTGGAAAGTATGTGTGGGAAGGCTTCTGACTATGTTTATATGCTACTGCACATGACATTCAAGTTTGCATGAGCATGCGTTAGAGCAATAAATGATTGTGTGTCTGCTCCAGGTTCTCAAATTCTGAGAGTCAATAGTGAGGGTGAATCCCCACTAGGAAGAAAGGTGAAATCGTAGTGAAAACAAGGCAGTTTGTAGTTTTCAAACGAATTAGCAGTTCTATGTAAGGTTCTTATGTGGCCCCCCATCACTGCAGTATCTGAGCATCAGCCCCACTGCATGGCAGGGAAGCACTATCCAGAAACAGCTTTTCTGCTGGGAAACTGAGGCACAAAGGTGACTTTCCTTGGGTCATACAGGCTGTTTGGGGCAGAGCTGGAATTGAACCCAGCTATCCTACAGCCCAGGCTAGAGTGCTAAGCACTGGTCCATGACTCCTCTCAAGCTAAAGGTGATGGGGGAACTCGTGTTTACCCTGACATGCTAAGTCATGTGAAAACTCCAAACTGCCTTAACTTCACTAAGAAAGATAACAGAGAATTGTTGCTGTTGTGTGCAGACAAACACAAACATTCGCTTCTTGGTCCCTCCCGGACATCAGAAGGACACAATGTTGGCTGATCATCCAGTTGCCTCCTCTCCAGCTTTTTTGATTGCCACCGTACACTGAGCAAATGTTTTCAGAAAACTATCCATGATGACACTAAGATCTCTTTCTTGAGTGGTAACAACTAATATAGACCCCATCACTTTGTATGTATAGTTGGCATTATGTCTCCCAATGTGCATTACTTTGCACTTAACATTACATTTCATCTGTAATTTTTTTTGCCCAGTCACCCAGTTTTGTGAGATTCCTTTGTAACTCTTCACAGTCAGCTTAACTATTGTGACAAAGTTCCTCCTCTATCTTGGTGGGTCCTGCGCTTATTGG